TCCCTGCGGCATTCAGATGGACACAACATTTAAAAATCCCACACCCGGGGCGTCTGGGGGGCTCCGTCAGTTGAGCGTCCAACTCTTGACTCGCGCTCAGGTCGTGATCCCAAGGTCGTGGGATCGATCCCCGTGTCGGGCTCCTGTACTGGGCGTGGAGCCCACTTAAGATGTTTTTTCTCCCTCTTCCACTCACTGTCTGACTCTCTTGAGAAAAAAAGAAAAGAAAAGAAATCCCACAGCTGGGAAAAAGAAGGACCTTTGCACTAAGACCCCTGGCAAACACGGCTTCACGCAGGCGGGGCAGGCCAGCATCAGCAGGGCTAAGTCGTGCTGGTAGCTGGAACGGCCTTCTTGTGTGTGCTGAGGACGCTGGGAACCCCCTCCCTCCGCGGTCCCCTCCATGGTCTCCGCCTGGGTCCTCGAGTCCCGCCGCTCTGCTCATGAGGGAAACACAAAACAAAACACAAAATCCAGGACCGGTACTATTTGAAAGTGTCCAGGTCACGCAAAGCAAGGCAGAGTGTGGGGAACGTCAGAGCCGAGAGAGGCCGACAGAGACATAACGAGAAAACATGCTGTGCCGTCCGCGATGGGGCCCTGGAGCCGAGGAAGGGTAGGGAAGAAGTGAGGGGGTCTGAATAGAGCAGGGACTTCAGGGAGTGACAGCGTACCAACATGCGATCAATAATTGGGTTTTTAAATGTTTATTTACTTTGAGGGAGGGGCAGAGGGAGAGGGAGACACAGGATCGGAAGCAGCTCCAGGCTCGAGCTGTCAGCACAGAGCCCTGATTGGGGCTTGAACTCAAGAACTGTGAGATCACGACCCGAGCGGAAGTCGGACGCCAGACGGACTGAGCCCCCCGGGCGCCCCTATTGGATCCGTAGTTGGGACAAATGTACCCCATTAGCGTGCGTTGTTAATAACAGGGTACCTGGAAGCCAGGTATCCGGGCAGCCCTCGCACTGTCTACACACTTCCTGTCTGTGAATCTAAAACTGCTCTAAAATAAAAAGAGGCTTTTCAAAGTCCCCACCCGCAACCCCCCCAAAAGTAGCGGGAAGTCACAGGCAGACTCCTTGCAGAGAGCTTCCCGCCAGAGAGGGCTTAAATAATGGGGCTGTGTTTATTCTCATTAAAATAGAGCTTTTGTCACAGAAGTCCTGTGTCTCCCAGCGAAGACTGGAAGAGGCCCCACCCTGGCGGAGAGATGCCCAGAAGCCCGCGGATGACAGAGAAAACGCTGGGAAAGAGATCGGTTGCAAGCCTTGGATGAGCAGGGACAGTGACCGGGGCCTCCGCGGGGCCATCGTCAGAGCTTTCCCCCCTCCGCCAGTTTCTGTCTGCAGGACCCGGAAACGCACGCGGGGAGGCCTGGGTGAGGGGAGGAAGGATCCACTGAGCATGTGAACTTGTCACTCCCCGCCCCTTCCTTCCCTCCCCGGGGACGAGACAGAGACAGAGCCACGAAGAGACAGAGAGAAAGCCAGCCAGCAAGCGGAAGGAGCCCCGATTTACAGCGTCTGCTGTCTGGGGTGCCCACACTGCCACGGTGGGCACTTTCCAGCTACCAAAGCTTTAATTCCCGGCTCACAAATGTCCTGCAAAGTTGGCAGTCGGTAGGAATTTACTGCTGAGCTCCGCTGTGGGGTGGCGGAAGGGGGCATCCCACCGGCAGGGGGTGTTTTTTTCTGTTTTTTTTTTTTGTGTGTGTGTGTTTGTTTGTTTTTTTTTTTTTTACCTCTGTGCCCAGAGGCAACAGCAAAGCAAGAGAAAGGGTTTATGGCAGAGGCCACCGCGCAGGGGGAAGACACCTCGTGTTTCCAAGCATTCTCTGGAAGGGTTGCCACGGGCCCCAGACTCTAGGACAAGGGCCATGTGTGGGGATGAGCAAGGGCTCCCAGGCTAGCGGGGGTGGGGGATGCAGGCCATGAGACCCACCCGGCACCCCACCTTGTCTCCTGTGAGCAGGAGAAACCCCCCATTGCGTCCAGTTAACTCGCTGCTTGAAATAAAAATTAAGCTGGGGGCGCCTGGGTGGCTCAGGCGGTTGGGTGTCCCACTTCAGCTCAGGTCATGATCTTGCAGTTCGTGAGTTCGAGCCCCGCGTCGGGCTCTGTGCTGACACCTCGGAGTCTGGAGGCTGCTTCGGATTCTGTGTCTCCCTCTCTCTGCCCCTCCCCTGCTCATGCTCTGTCTCTCTCTCTCAAAATAAGTAAAATAAACATTAAAAAGGAATTAAAATAAAAAATTAAGGAGGGTTAGGGGAAAATAAGAAAGTCCCCATTTGTTGCACATGGAGTGTGTGGTCTGAGATTTAATCCTGCTCTAAGTACCTTGATTTTTCTCTGAACTTTGGACAAAATCGCTCAGAGGCCATCTGGACCTGGCCAGCCCCACCCATCGCAGGCTGATTGATGGGCGACGGATGATAAGCCCCACGGGGAGGCCCAGCGTGGCCATCCACCAAGAGACTGATGTCGCATTTTTCGGATGACGCACAGCCGGGAGGCATCACTACAGAGGGCGCTGCCAAATGACCGGAGGAAGAGTCACAACGTCTCGATCAAATCAAATGATGGATCGAAGCCAGGCAAGTACACATGAAGACGGCTGAATGCCAAGTCCCACAGTAGAAGCCACAGAGGTTCAGCGCATCCCGTCCAAAACAAGGTAGGTCTTATCTGATTGGCTTAATTTCACCAAGAAAAAAAATCTTTCAACTTCTCTGAAGGTCAATTGAGTAGCAGTCGGATACAGAACAACAGCTTTTTAGATAAAGCACATTTCACCCAGGTGGGATTAATTAATTTCTCCTGGTCATATTAATAGAAGTAGAGAAAGTAGAATGAGGGAGGTATTGGTCTCATTCCATTTTATCCTTAAGCAGACTTTCTTAACCTTGGCACTACTTACATTTGGGGCCAGATGACCCTTTGTATGTCTTTGGTGGGGGGCTGTCCTGTGCCCGACAGGATGTTGAGTGGACACAGGATAGAGTAGGGAATCCTGCAGGTAAGGACGCAGTACAAACCTGCCCTAAGGCTGCTCATGAGCCCCTGGGGAGAGACGCCAGGGGCTGCCAGGCTGCAGAATCCCAAGGAGGCACCAACCCAGATTGGACAGGGAGGATCGTGAATGAGGAAGACTTCAGGGAAAGGGGACCAGAAAGTGTGAGAAGGTTCTGGATTATGATAACAGCCTCAAACACGATCAAAAGGGCAGCTAGTATTCTTGGATCCCTTGCTCTGTGCCCGGCACTGAGCTGTGATCCCCAGACCAGTAGGTATCATCGTCCCCATTTCTGGGGGCAAGAAACTGAGGCTAAGGAAATTAAGTGACTTCTCTGAGGTCACACCTAGGGGTCAGTCTCCACCCCAGTCTGACAGACTCTGGAGCGAGAGACCTCTACCAGTCAGCAGACTCCAGGGCTGGCAGCTGCAGCCAAGGTGGGCAAACAGAGAGGAGAGCTGCCCGTTCCTCTCTGAGCTGTGAAAACAATCGTCAGCATCCCCACCTCCCGCAGCCAAGAACACACTGATCTGGCCATTCCCAGGGACACTTCTGGAAAAGGTGTGATGTAATAGAGCCAGCTGGTGCAGGCAGGAGAGGCAACTTGCCCAAGGTTCCCCAGCCAGGCTCCCATCCCTCCCCCTGGGACTGGGTCCGTGCTGCCCTCTCGCCTTCCTACATCAGATAGATCCAGGCCTCAGTTTGCCCATCTGCTAAATGGGAGAGGGTGACTTGTACTTTCTTCCCCTACTTCTGAAGACCTTCCAAAGGAGGACTAGATGGAAGAGAAGAGCGCTTGTTCCCCATCACCCAGAGCTAGGGACTCAAATGCCTTCCTGAGTACCAGAAAATAAAGGTGGCCATCACCTATTAAGTGTCCACCAGTCACTGGACACTATCCTTATAACTCTACACCAATTAGGTTTAAATCCTCATAACAAACCTAAGAAGTGGACACTACTCGCAGTTAAAAAAAAAAAAATACAAACAAAACTGAGGCACAGAGAGGTTAAGTAACTCGTCCAAGGTCACACAGCAAGTCGATGACTAACTCGGGCCCATCAGAAAAGTGATTCCCTTGTTCTATGGAAACTGGCACACCTTGGGATGCTAGAGTCGCAGGCCCCGACTGATCCCGCTGAGGTTTGCTCAGCGACGGCTGTCAGCCTTCCCCGAAGACCCTCCAGCAGCTGACTGGTCAGAATGTCCCCAACACACCTCCGCTCGCCCCGGCTCTGCTCCCCTTGGCGCTCAGGGGGACCTTGGTGAGGCCTCTGCCCTCTTCGGGTGTTGGGTTCCCGTCGACGTGGTGGGACTCAGAACGGCACATGCACGCACACATGCACGTCATAGAAATGCGGCACCTCTACACAACGGAAAAGTGTCAGCCATAAAAAGGAACTGAGTGCTGACAGGAGGTGTCCGATCAGAGACAGAAGGCAGACTGGTGACCGCTGGGGACTGCAGAGGGGGACACAGGGGAGCAAGGGTTAATAGACACGGGGTCTCTTTGAGGTGACGGAATTGTTCTAAAACCGATACTCCATAAATGGGTGAGTTATACTATGCATGTGAATTATAGCTCAATAGAATTATGATTTTTAAAAAGGGTGGAGGTGCTCAGACAGGATGTCCACAACAGCGGTGTGCATTTGGCCTTTTTTCCTCTTTTCGGTCCCTGGCAGCCCCCTGCCGTCCACCCCCCTCCCGCCCCCGCCCCCCATCACAGCCCTGCTGCTGGGCTGGAGAGGAGATCGTTGTCTTCCCCACCCCACCCCGCTGTGCGGATGGCCTCACGTGGGGAGAGCACCCAGTGCCTACATCTGGGTGCTCTGAATGTGACCAAGCTGGGTCAGATGCTGCCCACCCCCCACATCTTCCCGGCCCCCACCTCCTCCCTCTCATCAGTCCTGTGTCCGTAAGGAACTCAGAATCCCTGAGCCTGTCTGCTCACCTGTGACGTGGGACACCAAACGCCCACTCACCTGGCGGTTCGAGAGTTAAATGAGACCCCACAGAGCCACCCTTGGTATAGGATCAGCTGCCCGGGGGTTGTGAGCACCAGCTGTGTACACACAGATGCGCACAGGGAGGCCGTGTCTACACGGGAACTGCACGATGCCCACGTCTCCAGTTCTGCTACCCTGTGTCTCCAACGCGTGCCCGTGGAAGGTCAGCTTGTCCCACAGAGAGGGACGGCTGTGCGGGCTGCTTGTGCCCTCACAGCCCTCTGTCTCATTGCTATTCTCGTCCTGGCCAGCCGGACAAGAGGGCTTTGTTAAAGGGGCCAGGGAAAGATGAGCTGGACATGTGCGTGTGCAAATCCCTGTGGACAGACGCACGGACACAGCCAGGACAGACAGACAGAAGACTTTGCCTGGGGCAGGGGGTGCGTGCAGGCACATGTGATGCTGATGCTGATGCTGATGGCGGCTAATACCTATGAACCCTCACTCCATTCTGGGCCCCGCAGGTGCATACATCTAATCTGCGGGAGACAGGGAGGAGTTCCATTTTCATCCCCATTTTACAGATGAGCAAAAGGAGGCTCCAGAGGGCAAACTGACCTGCCCAGGGCCACACAGCCACTAAACGGCAGAGTCAGGATTTGAACCCTGACCCGCCTGGGCCATACCCATAATGCCATCTGCCCCTTCAAGATGCAAGAGTCACAAGAACGCCAGAGGAAGGCAATAAAGGCCTGTGCTCAGATTCCAGCCGACTGGGGTCAGATGCTGGCTCATCTCTGTCACCATCCGGGTCTTAGCTTCCCTTTCTGTAGAATAAGGACAGTAAGAGCACCCACTTTCTCCTGTGGCCGTCTTCCTACGAGCCCTTGGGAACAGCCCTTGGAAAGTAGGGATTGTTCGCACTTGTAAGGGAAGAAACTGGGCGTAGGGAAAGGGAGGCGGCTACCGAGGAGAGGGGTGAGTGGGGGGGGAGACCGAGGAAGCTGCCGGCGGAAAAGCCAGCCAGCCATCCCCCTCCCCTCCTGGAAGGCCCCGGGCCACTGGCCAGGGGCGGGGCCTGGCGGGGGCGGGGCCGGCCCTGGGGCTCCATTGGCTGCCCGGAGGCGCCCAGGGAATAAAGCCTCGGCCTGAAGGCCAGACCCGTAGCCCTTGGGACAAGTCAGGAGACCTTCTACCTGTCTGTCCATCTACCCTCCATCTGTCCGAGGGCCATCCGTCCAGTCTATCCATCTAGATCATCGCCAGTCCATCCCTTCCCGGCTTGCTCGCCCTGTCCAGCCGCCCAGCTCCACCACCTTGGCCAGGTAAGTACCCCCTCCTGTGTCCCACCCCCAGACTGCAGTGCCTGCGAGGGCAGCGGGAGGGGGGAGGCTCCAGGGGGAGATGAGGTAGAGTCCGTTGAGCATAAAAACCCGTGCTTTGAAGCCAGACTGGCTGTGTTGGCATCTAGCTCTGGGCATCAGTTTTCTCTTCTCTAAAATGGGTATAATAACGGACCCTTCTTCAACATGCAGTTGTAAGGGTGAGATGAGATCATGTGCTTTAAAATGTCCAGTCCAGATATAATGATAGTTCGTTTTTATTGGGCGCCTGCTATGAGGGCGGGGAGGTGGTGACTCCTGAGCTAGAGGGGACACATAGCAGCTTCGAGTCTTCCCTCCTCTGTGTCTGGCACCCCCCCCCGGATGTTGTCTTGGAGGGAGGGGTGCCCAGAGGGGGTCCCTACCCCCACCCCAACCAGACACAGGTGGGGACAGAGGCTTCCCAAACCTCCCCGAACGGAGCTCCCTGAGGCCAGAGCTTGGGGTGCCCACAGGTCCCGTCAGCCAGAACACGGGTACCCTCGTTCCAGGAGTAACCTCCAGGGGGGTAATAATCAAATCGATATGGGGATGCGTCCGCAAGGGGGGGCATCTAGTCTCTGGCTTTTGTTCAAGAGATCTAGGGGAGAAGTGGTACCTGGTCAGGGCCCCACCCACCCCTGCTCCCAGGCCCTGAATGTTAGTTCAGACCGACATCAGCATCATATTTGGGGGTGCTAAGGCTGGTGAGGTGGTCAGGAGCCCCGGCTGTCACTTTACTTCTGTGCCAGGCACGTATGGCCCTCTCTGGGCGCTAGAGGGCTGAGCTGGAGGCCTCGGCCAGTGAGGCGCTGCACCGGGTGGCGGGCGGTGTCACTGGATATGGGGCGGGGGTGGGGGAAGAAAGGCAGCCAGCCGTGCATGGCCTTCTGGGATAGAGAAAGACATGCGGAGGCCAGACAGGCTCCTCAGCCAACCATCTGCCGGTCAGTTCTGGCTCAGCCCAAGCTGGGGAGACTCCGGGAGAAGAGAAGATGGCACGTGTGTGGCGGCCAGACTCTGGGCCACCTCAGCTTCTCGGTCACCCAGAGCCTGTGCAGAAGGGGAGCCTGAGCCGCGCCCACCGCCAGGAGCTCCGGTGCCAGACTGTCCCATCAAACCCTGCCTCCCCTCCCCCCCCACCACTAGCCGTGTGCCCTGGGGCAAGTCACATTAATATTCTGGTCCCTATTGCTGTGTGACAAACTCTCCCCAGGTCAACAGCATTCATTGTACTGTTGTCTGTCGTGGCTCTGGGGCTCGATGGGGCAGTTCTCAGTGGGGTCTCTCAGATGGTTGCGTGTGACATCTCAAGGTCACCCCCCCACGTCCGGCAGGTGATGCTGGCCATCAGCTGTCAGGTAGGGCACCCGCATGTGGCCTCTGCCTGCGGCCTGGGCTTAGTCCCATCCTGGCAGCTGGGTTTTGAGAGAGGACCTGCCTCAGAGAGGGGGCCAGGCAGGAGCCGTGTCCCCTTCTGTGACTTATCCTCGGGAGCGGGGCTGCACTGGGGCCCGCAGACTGTGCCACCTCTTCCTGGCTCCACATTCAATGACGTCACGTTGGTAGCTTGGAAGTGGCTTCGGTGGAGGTGGTGTACAGCACAGAGGTGCCCCCGCTGCAAATCGGGACTTTATTTTTCCTTGGAGAGTCCATTGTCACTTACAGGCACACCGCTGCTTGGAAATCCCATCGTGTCATTTCCAGCTGGGGCCACCAACCCCCACCCCCTCCAGGGTTCAAGGGGAGGAAACACGGGCCCCTCCTCTCACTGAGAAAGGCATCCGTCACATCATAAAGGGGTGGGAGGGGCTTGCAGGGACCACCCTAGGAAACACAATCGGAGCCTTTTCCCTAATCAGGAGAATGGGGTGATGATGGCACCTTCTAGGAGTGTTAAAGGAATCCATGAGTGAATATCTGTAATGCTTAGGGGCCCCTGGGTGGCTCAGTCCGTTAAGCATCTGACTCTTGATTTTGGCTCAGGTCATGATCTCACTGTTCATGAGATTGAGCCCTGCATCAGGCTCTGTGCTGACAGTGTGGGGCCTACTGAGGATTGTCTCTCTCTCTCTCTCTCTCCCTCTCTGCTCCTCCCCTGCTCATATTCTATCTCAAAATAAAAACGTAAACTTAAAATAATATATACAGATATATATATAATATAGATCTGTAAAGTTTATAGTGCCTGGCAGGGGCGCCTGGGTGGCTCAGTCGGTTAGGTCTCCAACTTTGACTCAGGTCATGATCTCACAGTTATTGAGTTCGAGCCCCGCATTGGGCTCTGTGCTGACAGCTCAGAGCCTGGCGTCTGCTTTGGATTCTGTGTCTCCCTCTCTCTCTCTGCCCCTCCCCCACTCACACTCTGTCTCTCTCTCTCAAAAATGAATAACCATTAAAAAAATAAAATAAAATAGTGCCTGGCACATGGTAATCACTTTATAAGCAATTATTAAATAATATAATAATTGCTATCAAGTAATAATAATAAACAGCTTTCCCTAATTGGGTACAGGGCTTTCCAAAGGTTGGTATAAAAAAAAAAATGTCCATTTAAATTGGTAATGCCTATACAGAGCAAAACATCCCAACAGTACACAAGGCAGTGCTGAGGGCCAGCTCTCCCCAGAGCGAGTTTCTCACCTCGTGAGTTTCCTGTGGGTTTCCGGAGCTGTTCTGTGCAGAGAAGCATATGGGGTGTGTGTGTGTGTGTGTGTGGCCCCATGTCTTTGCACAGACTGTATGGACCTGCGTCCTGTCCCTTCTTTAGCACTTAACCAGCTTGCGGCTCGCTCTCAATCAGCGCCTGCAAATCCTTCTCCACCTCACGCCCCTCGAGAGGTGTGAGGTCTGCACGTTGTTTCTGATGGTCATGGCTCCCCGGCACGGTGTGTACTGGGAGGGGTGCTTGCCCCCGTTTTACAGATGAGGCAGCTGCCGCTGCGGGGGCACCGCTTTGATCTGATGCCACCCGGAGAGTAGGTGGGTTGGCTGAGCTTTGAATTCCAGTGTCCGGGATGCTGGCGCTTTCCTCGGCCTCGTGGGTGGGGTGGCAGCAGCCGGCGCCGGGGCCAGCCCTCCTGACCACCTGGCTTTCCGCCCTCCCTCCAGCGATGACGTCTGGAGAGCCCCTGCACGCGAGGACCCCCATCCGTGACAGCATGTCCCTGTCCAAAGTGGCGGGCACCTGCGTCTACCTCAAGATGGACAGTGCCCAACCTTCAGGCTCCTTCAAGATCCGGGGCATTGGACACCTCTGCAAGACGGTACGGGGTGCGCTCCGCATCGTCTGAGCGTGGGGGTCGGGCCCCCTTTCCTCCACGGGGCGAGGCCAGGCCGTGTGGAGCCCCACAATGCCTGCCAGTCTGCGGTCAGCACTCCCTCTAGGGAAGGGGTGCCCGCGCGACAGGGTCTCCTCGTGGACTGGTCCCTGAGGGAGGGAGTGATGTCCCCGGAGAGGCTAGGGCAGGACCAAGTCCGTGTGAAGGAAGCAGCGGCCAGCGTGTTCCGGTATGGCTGGGAAGCTCTCCGTGGGGGAGGGAAGAGCCCAGGGAACCACCGGAGGTGAGCCTGACCCTCCCCCCTTGCCTCCGCAGTGGGCTGAGCAAGGCTGTGAACATTTCGTCTGCTCCTCGGGTAAGTGGCCTGCACGCCTCCTGTGTGCCCCGGGCCAGGCGCTCTACCTCTCTGGGCCCTGGTTCCCTAGCAGCGAGCCACTACAAACACCTGCAGCAGCCCCGGTTTGGAATCCCCAGGGGAGGCGAGCGACAGTCACTCAGGAGGGTGTTCAGAGCCCCGAGGGTGGGGCCGCATGGTCCCAGCTGGGCTCCCAGGCCCTCCTGCAGGGACCCACTCTCCACCCCCAACCCCGGCAGCGGGCAACGCGGGCATGGCAGCCGCCTATGCCGCCAGGAAGCTGGGCATCCCTGCCACCATCGTTGTGCCCAGCACCACACCTGACCTCACAATTGAGCGGCTCAAGAACGAGGGCGCCATGGTCAAGGTGGTGGGTGAGGTGAGTACCAGCCCCGGGCAGGGGCCACCTGGCGGCGGGGCGGAGTCCCCCCCGGGCCCCCTCACCCCCTCCAGCCTCCCCTGTGGTCTTACAGATGTTGGACGAGGCCTTCGAGCTGGCCAAGGCCCTGGCGAAGAACAACCCGGGCTGGGTCTACGTTCCTCCCTTTGACGACCCCCTCATCTGGTAGGTGGGGCCCAGAGTCACCACCGGGGGCGCACCGGCCGCCGTGCGCGTCACCACGGCACGGTGCACAGGGCTGTCCGTGTGTGTGCACCCCGTTGCGCAGAAGCACACACCAGGCCTGGCAGCAGGTGCACACGCACGTGCCCTGGCACGTCCATGGCCACGGCCACGAGCGACCACGTGAGCTCAGATGCACAGGGGTCTGCAGCCCGGTCCCCGGGAAGCCAACCCCGAGACAGATTTCAGAGAAGGCAGTTTACGTGGTTGGCGACTCATGGGGGAAGGGGGAAGGGCGCCGAGACAGGGCTCTCGTGGGCAGGTGGCCAACGTGGCAGCCGGCGCTTGCTCTGCTGGGGGCCCCTGGGAGCCCGTGTGGGTAAGACAGCTACCCACCCGTGGGAGAGGCTGGATTCCCAGACACTGGTTGAGGGCGGCTCTCCGGGGTGTCCTATCCTGGCAGCGCCAGCTGCCACATTTGTGGACAACCAGGGTGGAGCTGGGGCGGAGGTGACGCCCAAAGCCCTTCGGTTGCCGGGACGAGCCCCGCCCTGAGCCGCCGCCCTCCCTGACCCTCCAGGGAAGGCCACACGTCCATCGTGAAGGAGCTGAAGGAGACCCTGAGTGCAAAGCCAGGGGCCATCGCGCTGTCGGTGGGCGGCGGGGGCCTGCTGTGCGGCGTGGTCCAGGGGCTGCAGGAGGTGGGCTGGGGGGACGTGCCCGTCATCGCCATGGAGACCGCCGGAGCCCACAGCTTCCACGCCGCCACCACCGCCGGCAAGCTCGTCTCCTTGCCCCAGGTCACCAGGTGAGCAGCGGGGCCGCCTGCCTCGGATGTGCAGCGAGCCCTGGGGAGCCCACCCTGGTGCTGGCTTGCGACGCAGAGCCCCGTATTGGTCCCATTTTACAGACGAGGAAACGGAGGCCTGCCCAGAGTCACACAGCCAGTGAGCGGTACCGCTGGGACCGAACCCAAGTCGGTGTGACCCTGTAACCATGAACGTCACATCTCACATGAAGAGTTTGCTATGAATCATTTGTCGAGGTCCCCTCGAGAGGGTTTTGCACACATTAACCTGCCGACCATTTCCTGAGCCCCTAATGGGTGCAAGCATCGCTGATCCCGGGGGCAGCGTGGTGAAAAGACACAGCCCCTGCTCCTAAGGAGTTCATAGCGCAGCCCCGGGCTTTTAGACGGTATTCAATGAGGATTAAGTTTGGCACATTGTACGGGAGCCCCAGATAACAGTGACTTAACAAGACCAAATTTTACTTCCTCTCTTCTGTAAAATGGAAGTCCAAGGGCAGAGAGCTCCATGGAGCGGGGGTCCAGGTTCCTTGAGTGTGTTCTCCATCATCCTTATCGTCTTATGGCCCAAAAGAACTGCTTAGTGCCGGCACACCCACACTCCATCTGGCCAGAGAAACTGGCGCAGAAGCAACGGCCCCTGCCTTGAAAGACACAGCACTTCCTGGACCTCTCACTGGCCAGCACTTAGTCACATGGCCGCAGCCAGTGCAAGGGAGGCTGGGAAGCGTCTTCCTATAAGGTCTCCGTGGGTGCAGCTAGGACAGATACTGGGTAGACAAGTCCCTACCACAGAGAGGGAAGACTAAGTCCAGGTAAGAACTCCTTGAGGATTCCTGAGCCTGGTACCCAGGAGCTACCATGTTGGCCTCCGATCCTGCCCTGTTGGCACTGAAGTAATTGGGGAGTGCCTACCATGTGTCACACACAGGGGCTGCAGGCTAGGCTGGTTCAGGCTGCAGGTGCCCACGGGCGAGTGGGGAAGGTGAGCCGGGAATAGAGCTGGTGAGGACTCCGGGGAGGGTGGGGAGAAAGAGAATGCGCCAATCCCGCGTGCGGGTCCTGGGGTCACATGGATCCCGTGCCAGGTGCCCACGCCACCACTCCCTGAGCCCGTAACCGTGGGCAAATGACCCGCACGCTCTCTGCCTTGGTCTCCTCTCCTGTGAAATCAGGCCAATGAGCAGCGAAGACTGTTGACCGGATTTAAAATTGCTTGTAAAAGGGTGGGCACCTAACACTTCCTCAAGAAATAGTCACGGCGTCTGTTTATGCGGGAGGACCATTTGAGAATTCAGCATGGAGACAGTCCCTGGAGGACTGCTTGGAGGAGGTGGCTTTCATCCGGTGCCTGGAAGGACGGGGCGGGACTTGGGCAGGCAGAGTGGTGTTCAGCCGAGTGAGGGTTGAGCAGGGGGAGGGTACGACCTGAGGCAAAGGCTGGGAAGCCTTCCAGGGAACCGCAAGGGGGCTTTTCAGTCGGTGTAGACACAATGTGCCACTTAGCCCACTCAGGCCTCTCTGTCCGAGGAGACTTCACTCTGTCAGGGAGCCCCTGTGCCCCTGACCCCAGACCCCACTTCCCTCCGCCCTCTCAAATCCATCTTTCTCTTTCTATCCCTCCTCATCCCCATCTCCGCCTCCCTCCTCCCTCCTGTCCTCTCCTCCACCCCCACCCCTCCCAGCGTGGCCAAGGCCCTGTGCGTGAAGACCGTGGGGGCTCAGGCCCTGAAGCTGTTTCAGGAGCACCCCATTTTCTCTGAAGTTATCTCCGACCAGGAGGCGGTGGCTGCCATCGAGAGGTTTGTGGGTATGTGCCAAGTCCTTTCAAGCCCTGCTGGCTCGGGAACTAACTGGCTGCCCCCTTGGCTGTCCTAAGAAATCCCATTCACTACAAATTCTCACAGTTCTGTCTCCCATCCCTCGCTGGAACTTCCCCTTAATGAAAGATAATGCAACGCAGCAGTAAAAACAGAAAGGCCCAAAGTCACAAGCAAAGAAGACTGACAGAACCATGATAGCAGGGAGCTTCCTGGTAGCCAGGGTGAAAAAGGAAAGCCAACCCCAGGGCTGGCCTCAGAAGCGGGTCCATAATGAGGCTGGACTCTTTCTGGGTTCAGCCCAGGACAGGGACGCACGCGCGCGCGCGCGCACACACACACACACACACACACACCAAAGTTCGCACTAATGCTGCCCCTGAATTCTGTGCCAGCAGTTTGGCTAATCAACCATGGCAGCCTTGCTGGAGTGAGTCAAGCCTTCTCAACCCAGTGCTCGGGCAGCTACATCATTTCATCAGTGGGAGCACTCAGGGTGCACCTAGGCTGCCTCAGGGCCTGGAAGGTTGGCTTAGGGTAACAATGGAAAGTTTGGTCCAGGACCGGAGTCCGTGCTCAGGCTCAAAGCCCCCAGGCTTTCCCAGCGACCCAACAGCCCCCTCGCCCTCCCCCCAGAAGCCAGGCCCACCCTCATCACCCCCTCCTCTGGCAGATGACGAGAAGATCCTGGTAGAGCCGGCCTGCGGGGCAGCCCTGGCCGCCGTGTACAGCCGTGTGGTTCAGAAGCTGCAAGGCGAGGGGAAGCTCTGTGTCCCGCTCTCCTCCCTCGTGGTCATCGTCTGCGGGGGCAGCAACATCAGTCTGGGCCAGCTGCGGGCCCTCAAGGAACAGCTGGGCATGAAGAACGGGTGGCGCAAGTGAGGGCCTTTCTCCCCGGGTCGGGGGGACCCCCGGAGGAGCTGGAGTTTTATCCAGTGCCTCGCTGTAAATAGTATTTGTGTGTCTGCCCGTGAGCCTGTGGCCCGGCAGGTCCCCTTGTGCCCACGAGCCCACTGTGCCGAGGGGGCCAGAGCCCCAGGGTGCGGGGCGCGTCGGCAGCCAGCGAGGCTAGGTCTGTGCAGCCCGCTCCGTGACTACCCTAGCCACCCCTGCTAGGTGACGACCACCCACGTGTCCCATACCAGGTCCCCCGGGTGGGGCGGGCCTCCTCCCTGGAAGGCACAGGGGGCTACGGTCTGGGCCAGGGTCCGCAACGGAGAACCGGCTACCCTCTCCCCCGGGAAGCCCCGCCCCGCCCCGCCCCTGGGCAGTTTTCTAATTGCAGACTTTTTCATTGAAAAAGAAAAAAAATATATATTTATGAAACAAAGATCCTCTGAGCTTCTCCTTCATCGCAGTCTGCCTCCCTCCCCACCCCACCCTGCACTCGCCTGCTCGCAGCCCCAGCTCTCAACAGCGAGAACCCTGCTCCCTCACCCCTGTAAGCTTGGGGCCCGGAGGACCCGGGTAACCAGGACCCTGCTCACAGCTGGGCTTGCGTGCCGGGAGGCAGAAGGCAGGAAGCAAAGGAAGGGCACTGAACAAGAGCTGGGGCAAGGGCTGCCTCCACTGGAGAGGCAGATGAGGCTGGCCTCATCCCCACGGGAAGTCCTTCCTCCCTCGTATCAGAATGACTTGCTCACAGGATTAGGGGAGCAGAGCAGGGAGCCCCACATCGATGGGGTGGGTAACGCTATACCCCATCTCCGGGGTAGGGGAGGAGCCGATTTGAAGACAGTGTCACATAAATCCTCTTAAACCACGAAACCCCGTTCCAAGGAGAGCGCGGGCCGAGGCCAGCACAGGAAACAGGCGAGGGCTTGCCAGGGGGCTCCCCGAAGGCCGAGAGGGACACCCACCTGCTCAGGAGCATTCCGGCACCACCCACAGCGGCCTCAGGCAATTCACTCAATCCCCAAGGTCAGAGTGAAGGCCGAGACCCCTCTAGCCCCTCAGGACACGAGGCGGATCCACACAGGCCTGCACAGTCCTACAAACAGCCGGGGCTGCGAGATTCAGGGGAGAGTGGGAGCCCCCACCAAGCCCGCCCTGGACACAGTCCCATCCACTGATTTCCTGCCAGGCAAACATGTAGTTTACGGGGGACGGGATAGCGGGGAAGGGCTAGAAGGGACAGCAAACCAGCAGCCCCTGGGGCCCAGAATTCTTCCCGGGGACAGACTGGGACTAAAATCGTGCTCAGTTCAGGAGATTTTGCCCAGAACAGGGTTGCTTCCAGCCTCCACCGTCCCGCCTGCGTCAGCACAAAACCCCTAAAAGAGGCGAGGCAGACCCCTCTGCCCATTACAAGAGCTGAGGCGCTGAGGGCTGGGGTCCACCAGCCGGCTAAGGTCAGATGGTGACAGGCTCTGTTTTGTCTTGATTTCTATTCCATAACGGAACTTGGGAAGGTCTTGTTGGCTAAGAAGGCCAGAGGACAGGACCCAGAACAAAGCAGGGGCCCAGTGAACATCTGGATGGTTGGATGGATGGATGGATGGATAGATGGATAGAAAATGGATGGATCTATGGATGAATGGATGGGTGAGTAGATGGATGGATGGATGGATGGATAGAAAATGGATGGATCTATGGATGAATGGATGGGTGAGTAGATGGATGGGTGGATGGAAAATGGATGGATGGATGTATAGATGGATGGATGGGTGGGTGGGTAGATGGATGGGTGGATGGAAAATGGATGGATTTATGGATGGGTGACTGGCTGGCTGGCTGGGTAGATACAGATAGGAGGGTTAGCAAATGAATAAATGGATGGGTGGGTAGACAGAAGGATGGACAGGACAACGCACGGGTGGATGGTGTAGAGCCCAAACCAGAGAGGAGAAAAAGCACCGACCCAGCTCTCCCCACTGCCCCAGAAAGCACAGCACAGGGGCCACGGCCTCTCATTTAATGGCAGCACAGCCTGCAATTTGGTTCCGACGGCAGGGGAGCTGTGGGCACCGCCCTGAGGCCAAGGGCAGGCCCCAGCTGGGGGGGCGGGGGGCCCTAGGCTGCAGCATAGGGGCCCACACTCTCGCCTGCCCCCCAAGAGAAGGACGCTCACGCCCCTCCAGCCACAGGTCACCAGAAACTTTGGTTTTTGTTTGTCTTCAAGTTTCTGTCGTCCGGAAAGCTGCCCACGAGGGGCAGGGGGCTTCCTGAGGAAGCGGGGGCGGGAGGGGAGGGCGGATGCCAACCACGGGCGGCGCCCAGGTTTCAGGGCTGAAACTCCCGAAGTTCCAGAACACCGACAGGAATGGAACTGGGAGACAGGGACTGAAACGGTCGGCTCCTGCCGCGGCAGGGGCCCCGAACCCCATCCGAGGACCCCTCCCAAGCCCTCAGGAGAGGCCAGCATGAGGTCAGGGCCCCAGGCTGGGGGAGAGAGAAGCAGGCGGAGAGAGAGAGAGATGCCAGGGGCGGGGACCAGGGGGCACCTGCCCACTTACGGGGAGTGAAGCAGTCAGTCCTGGGCCCCATCAGGTCCCGTGTCCCCCCCAGGAGGCGACCCGGATGAAAGTGACCCTGGAAGACCCCGGCCCCAGATCTGGGCACCGCGGGAGACGGAGCCCATGGGGCAGGCGGGGAGGAGGTCAGGGCAGCAGCCAGTGGGTGGCCCCGCGGGGGTCGGCAGGGCAGAGACGGAGACTCAGTCCCATGACACCTCGATGGGCGAGAACTTCCAGAGGTCAGGCTGGCCCATGTGCAGCAGGCCGCTGAAGGGCGAGGTGCTCCACTGGAACGGGGGCAGCTGGTCCCACGTGGGGCCGCTGGCCGCCACCAGCCGGAAGTCCTTGGCCCGCGCCATGCTGGTCACCTGCGGGCCGGGCAGAGGCTGCTGAGGCTGGGCCCGGAGCCGCCCCAGTCCAGAGGGCCCTGACCCCCGACCCTAACTTGGACCCTGACCCACCCCGCGCTGCCCCAGCCTCCTGCCCGGCCACCCGCTGCCCCCAGGCCCGGGGCGGGCGGCACCTTCACGTCTATGCCCCCGTGGGAGCGCTGCTGCAGGGCCTGGAAAGGGTACGAGCCGTTGGCCGGGTTCAGGTCAGAGCGGGCGGAGATGGCGTTCTCTGCGTTGGCCTGCGGGCGGCACGCTTTGCACAGGGAGAGCGGGTCGTGCAGGAAGTCGTTGTACCTGCGCGCGTGAGAAGGGCGGGGCATCAGTCGTGCCGGGAGGAGAGGGCCACGGAGGCAGAGCCGCCCGCTCTCTCCTGCCTGCTGCCCCGCCGCCCGGGGCCCCCCCAGCCCTGCATCGGCACTGCAGCTCTGCTCACCACCCCCCCGGCCCTGCATCGGCACTGCAGCTCTGCTCAGGCCCCCCATCCCCGGCCAGGCTAGATGCCCTGTCCTGCGCCTTTGCTGCGTCTCTCCGGGCTCCGCCAGTCCGAGCCTCGCCGGCGCGTCCCTGTGAGCGTCCGACCGCCTGCGTCTCCCCGGCCGGTGCCCCCGTTCCGTGCTGGTTCTCCGGCACCGGGCACGGGGTACCTGCCCACAGCTGCTCCGCGCCCTCCTCCGGGACATGCGGGCAGTGCCACGGGGCCGCCCCACCAGCGGCTGCAGGTCGCCGCCGCCCTGCGACCCCCGGCCTTGCCGGGAGGGCGGGGAGGGCGCGCCAAAAGCTCTCCGGGACTCGGGGCTCACGCCAGGTGCCCCCACGCACCGCATAAGCCGGATCATGGAGTCCAGGTCACGCACTAGCGACTGGTTCCGCCGGAAGATCTGGGCGCGGGGGCTCCCGTCGTAGGAGAACCAGTCACCGTACTGGGCCACCAGCGCCTGCATCCCGCTAGCGTTAAACACTCTCTCAAAGTACCTGTGGGCGGGCAGACAGCCACTCACCACCTCTGACCACACAGGCTGCGGCCGGGGGGCGGGGCGGCCACACAGGAACGTTATCACTAACAGCCAGGGGACAGGACGAAACAACGTCTTCTGTTCATGGAGGAGGTGGGGTGGGTGCGGGGTGGTGGTAAGGTGACCAAGCTTGGGTGCTGCAGCCCCAGAGACATGGGTTCAGATGCCGACTTCACCACTGAACAGCTGTGGCCTGGACGGCACCTCAGGAAAGTCAGGCGTTAGCTCGAGACCTCAGTTTCCTCATCTGTGAAATGGGAACTGGCCGTGGCTACCGTGAGGTGGTCCTAAGTATCAAATGTCTCGTTTGGCCGAGCATGGCGAGCACCAAGAGGTTATGGCCGTGCGGCCTCGTTATAGGAGGCGCAGCGGGGGCGCCGCCGCAGGGCCAGCCCCCACCCCCTGCTCTGGAAGCAGGCCTAAGCCCACAGCTGTACCCCCAGACCAGCAGGGCTTTCCTGGCCCTAAGAAAGGGCAGAGTGGCTTCTCTGCTCCAAGGGTTGAAACGACCATGCACGGAAGGGCCCCTGACCAGCCTGAAGAGCCAAGCAGGGGTGAGGCAGGTGTGGGGCGGGGGGAGGGAAGGACATACGGTATGTTGTAGCTGGCCCAGTAGGTCTTCTCGTAGAGTTCCGACGTCTTATCGGCCACCACCACCATGCCCCTGGGACCGAGAAGGGAGACGGGGCAAGAGCTGGTGAGAAAAGGTGCACCCGTGGGCACTGCTCTGCTCAAGAGCCCCTGATGGCTCCCCACTGCCCCGGGGTAGCTCTCCTCCTCTCCCGCTTGGCCGTCCCGCACACCGTTCCAGCCTCCAGGCCTGTGCCCAGGCAGTGCCCTCTGCCTGGAGCACCGTCCCCCCCCCCACGGCACTCACGGGATCTGCTCCAGGACAGTGAGCACCCTTCTCCGAGGGCTGGGCCCGCCAGGGACAAACGCCTTGTAGTCCACGATCATCCACTGGTTGTTGTATCTGCCGTGCCCAAGGAAAGGGGACTGAACACATCCCGGGGCCGCCGCCCTGGCCGTCCCCGCCCCCCCAGTGCCCCGCACAGTCATGGGGTGGGGGTGGCGCTGGGGAGGTCTGGCCGTCTGATTGTCACCCTGACGTCGCAGCTTGGCCAGGTGTCCTCAGCTCTCACCAAACTGTCTGCTCCAGAGGCATCTATGGCTCCCTAGTGCTTCTTGGAACAAGAGTCCAGCCAGGCCCACTTCCTCAGACAGCCCTCCCCCTCCCCAGAGCTCTCCTGTTCCAGGTTCTCTTCCTGGCCTCCCTCTGAGGGCCTGTCCCTGGATGGAGGAGCCTGCGGGAGACGGGCGAGGCCTTTCCTTCCCTGAGCCTCAGTTTCCCTAAGTACAAGACAAGGGAGAAGACTATAAGACACCTTCCGACTCGAGGGAACCACGAGGGCTCTACGGGGGGTGTGGGGTGCGTGCCCTGG